CCAAAGCTCTTCCCAGAGCTCCAGGTTCCAGGTTCAAGTATCTGACCATCCATCTGACCAACCAGGAGTGCCTCAAACACAACATGACTGAAGATAAACTACCCTCCAGAAGAAAACCCCACTCCAGCTCACTAGGTGGACTAGACATCTACTCACTTTTCCAAGGCTGGACCTCAGGATCATCCTTCTCCTCCCACACCCATCATTCTGTCCATTCAACACCTGCATATCTTTCCAATCCATTCTCTCCTCTCCACACCTACTTCCACTTTTGTGTTTTACCTGTATGGCATCACTTCCTCTGGGGACTTCCTCTCACATCCATGTGTTTCAAGTGGGGCTAACCACATCACCCTAATCCAAGAACCGAGGCCGGATTAAAGAAAGTGTTCCAGCAACTTGGCCAAGGCAATCAGTTTAGGCTTGAGCTATCAGAATCCTCCCCAGAGTCTGACTGGGCATAAAGAGAAAGCTACCCTCCTCCCTGGGCTTGTGGGGACCAAGGTAAGGCAGGAGCTGTGGAGCCTCTTATTGCTGCATAGAGAGTGTGAAGCGATGAAGAGACCAGCACAATTGAGGGATTAGAGTGAATGGTGGAAAAAAGGGAGCAAGGAAATAAGAGCCCTGATTCTATTGTTTGAACCACCCACCAAATCCAGCCTAAAGCCAAAGGGTTTCCTATGGACAACCCCATTACATGGATCTATACATTCCCTATCTATATATATAAAAGCCTAAGCGACCGTTCGACCGTTTGACCAGTAGCTATGATGCACACTGACCACCAGGGGGCAGACTCTCAACACACAGGCATGGAAACATGGAACAGACTGATGAATCTCAGAGGGAAAGGGGGTGGGGGGAGGGCAGGAAGAGATTAACCGACAATCTTATATGCATACTAGAGGCCCAGTGCACAAATTCATGCACCAGTGGGGTCCCTCAGCCTGGCCTGTGGGGATCAGGCTGAAACCGGCAGTCCGACATCCCCCCAAAGGGTCCCAGGTTGCAAGAGGGTGCAGGCCAGGCCAAGGGGCCCCACTGGTGCACAAATCCGTGCACTGGGCCTCTAGTTTCATAATAGCCAGTTTGAGTTGGAGTCTGTCTCTAACAATTGTGTACCTGACTGCTCCACAGTTCACATGAACAGGTCTCCCTGCCTTCTATCTTATCTCCTATATTAGTCTGCTAGGGATGCCATAACAAAGGATCACAAAGGGAACAACAGAAATTTATTGTCTCAAATTTCTGGAGGCTGGAAGTCCAGAATCAATGTGTTGGCAGGATTGGTTCCTCTTGAGAGCTGTGATGGATAACCTGCCATGCCTCTCCTCTAGCTTCTAGTGGTTTGCAGGCAATCTTTGGCCTTCCTTGGCTTATGGAAGCATCACCCAGATGTCTGCCTTTATCTTCATATGATATTCTCCATGTATATGTGTGTGTGTCCAAATTTCCTTTTACTACATGTGAAGAATCAGAAACCAAGATGCAAAGGGTCACAGTCAGCTGGGACCTGAATCCTACAAAACCAAAATGCCTGCACTTCACACACAAGAGGTTGAAATATCATTCCCCACTGATCAACCACAAAGGTTGTTCAATGCATTCACTCTACAGATATGCAAGCCCTCTTCTGGGGGCTACATAGTGAATAAAACATAGGAGATCCCTGCTTTCTGGGGTTTGCCTCCTAATGAGGGAGTGAGACACTCAACAGGAAGGTAAGTAAATGTGCGTGAGCAGGTGTGTGCTAAGTCCTATAGCATAAGTAGCAGTGCAGAGGTGGGGGTCTATTGTTAGAGTGTGGTGAGGAAGTAGTCATCTAATAAAGGCTCACTTAAGGTGAAGGGAGCAAGGAAATAAAAAACAGAGTGGGAAGTACAAAGGGCTGAGGTAGGAGCAATCTCAGAGTGTTCAGACAGCAGAGAGAACAGCACTGCTGAAGGGAGTGGGTGAGGGAAAGAGTGGTAGGAAGTGAGGTCTGAGAAGGGAAGACAGCCAGTGTGGACAGGGAATTTTGCTTTGAGTGTCAGAAAGCCAATGACAGGCTTTGATCTGACTCAGACTTCAAAGGGTCACTCTGACTGGTAGAGATGATGGTGGCTTGGACCAGGTGACAGAGACAGGGGCAGTAAGAAGTGGTCATTCTAAATACATCTTGAAGGCAGAGTTGTGGGTTGTGAACACAGAGTTGATTCCAAAGTCTGTGGCACATGCAAATGAAAAGAGAAAGAGCCATTTTATAAAAGAGGGGGGACTGATGAATAAGAGGTGGAGACGCAGATCAGGAGTCTGTCTTTGAAAATGCTGAGCTTGAGATGCCGACAGGGTGTCCAGTAAACACAGAGCAGTAACTGGAGATACAAATCTGGAGAGCAGGGAAAAGTCCTCCCATGCTCTGGAGATTCACACCTGGGAGCATTAGACAGTTAATCACTCAGTTGTGTGAAAAGCCTGGAGATTGGATGAACCCACCTAAGGAATGAGAACAGATGGGCCTTCATGGCTCCCTGGGGACTTGCCAACGTTCTGAGGTGAGGGAGATACGAGTCTAGAGAAGGAGCCTGAGAAGAAAACAGGGAGAACCATGAGTGTGGTGTCCTGATGAAGCCACAAGCAGAAAGAATTTCAAGGAGAAGGAATTGAGTAACTGCCAAATGTTGCTAATTGGTCACATAAGACAAGACTGAGAATTGACCATGGGATCTGGCAACATGGAGGTCACTGGAAACCTTGCAATGATCTATTTGGATGAACCGGTAAATACAAAAGAGCAAGGGAGGAAAGGAAGCAGGGATTTCAAGATTAGACAAGCCTTTGGAGCAGTGGTTCTCAACCTTCCTAATGCTGCGACCCTTTAATACAGTTCGTCATGTTGTGGTGACCCCCAATTTCATTGTTACAAATTGAACATAATTAAAGCATAGTGATTAATCACAGAAACAATATGTAATTATATATGTGTTTTCTGATGGTCTTAGGCGACCCCTGTGAAAGGGTCATGACCCACAAGTTGAGAACCACTGCTTTGGAGGAATTCTGTGTAAAGAAGAGCCCAGAAAACTCATGATGCTGAAGTGACAGTCATGGGTAGATGAGAGGGGAGGTGACCTAGTGAATAATGGAGACCTCCTCCTTAGAGGTAATTCCTCAGCAGTGGCCAGGGTGCGAGAAACCAGCACTAGTCAGAGTGTAAAGCACCCCTGGCTCTTTGGAAATGTTCAGCAGCTCACATCCAGAGCCTTGAAAAATGCCCATGCCCTTTGACCCATTAATCCTACTTCTGAAAATCTCTTCTAAGGAAATAATTCCAAATACAGAAAAAGCTCTCTGCATAGAAGCTCATCACAGCAATATAGGTAATAGGTCTAGAAGTATTTAAAAATGCCACAACAGATGAGGAGGAGGACACAGGACGGATCTAGTCACTGGTCTCTGAGCTCCATGAGGACAAGGACAGTGTTTGTTTTATCTACCACTGTCTCCCCAGCCCCTACCATGTGTCTGACATCATTGTTAAATGAATGAATAAAAAGTATTATAAGGTTAAGCAACAAAAAAGATATAAAATAATCCTTAAGTACCCTATATAATAAAAGGCTAATATGCAAATTGTCCTCTCGACGAGGAATTTGACTGGGAGTTCCACCAGGGTGTGGGGTCGGCTGGCCAACCACCTGCAGCCCCTCCCCCAAGCCAGCCCCGCCCCTGATTGGCCCTCCCGCCCTGATCAGGACGGGCCAGCCAGACCCCACTGGTGCACAAATTCATGCACCGGGCCTCTAGTTATATATAACTATGCTTAAGTATTATATACTAGAGGCCCGATGCACGAAGATTAGTGCAAGAATGGGCTTTCCTTCCCCTGGCTGCCCGCCCCGCCTTTGCTCTGGCCAGAGCTGCCTTTCCGCCTTTGCTCCAGCCCAGAGCCACCTTTCCACCTCCCACACTGCCCAGAGGCCCCACAACTCAGGCGTTCTGCACCGCCCCAGCCGCTCAGTGCCTGCATATGCAAATTAACCTGCCATCTTTGTTGGGTTAATTTGCATATTCGCTCCTGATCGGCTGGTGGACATCATGAAGGTACAGTCAATTTGCATCTTTCTCTTTTATTAGTGTAGATAACAGTATGACCTCAATCATGTTTAAAAAATAATAAAACTTAACACTAAATAAAAACTAAAGAAATGGCTCCACAAAATGTAAATAATGATTATCTTTCTGTAGAAGAACATGATTTCCTCTTTCATTTTATTTTTGTGTAGTTTGCATATTTTCATGATTGAATATGATTTGTTTTACAATGGAAAAAGCAAGCAAGGTCATTTCTTGAGAAAGGAAGGGCTAGAGTTAGATGAGTTAAGCTCACACCATCAGGATTTGATAAGGCATTGCACTTGTTAACAGTTCCCAGGCACTTTTTGTGGGTGAGAGTCTCCATTTGCTGCCATGATGCTCCTCCGAAGATGGGCTCATCTCACTACCAGCAGGGACAGGTCCTTACTTGGGCCAGCGAAGGCTCCTCTGGGAGCCTGAGAGATTCTGTTCAGGGGAACCAGCTTTCACTGCAGCATTTTCTAAACTCTTAATCAGCTGTAAAAAATAAAATCCAGCAGGAAAAAACACTTGATGATACAGTTTTAAATGAAATAGAACAGAATACAGAGAGGCATGTTCATAAAAATATAACTATGCAAACAGTTTATTTGACAAATATTTATTGAAGGAATGAAAAGACTTCAGAAGAAATATGTTCACATACAGCCAGAGAAGAGACAACCAACCAAAACTTTTTCATCAATACCACTTTAAAGCCGTATCTCCCAAACTAGGGTTCTTAAAGGCCAACGCCTGGTGCCACTGAAGGTATCTTCAAGTGCTCCAAGTTCCAGAACAAACGGTTTTTTAGAGCAGAGCTTCCCAAACTTGCATGTGTGCACCACAAACTTGGAGATTTTGATAAAATGCAGATTCTGATTCAAAAGGTCTGATGTGGGAACACCAAGTTCTGCATATCTAACAAGCTCTGGGTGATGCTGAGGCTGTTGGTCTTCTGAAGACACTCTGAGCAGCAAGTTCCCAGGGTGCTGGGTAGCCAGGCAATTCCAAGGGTCATTGGGAACCAGGAACAATAGGCAGCCATCTAGGCAGGCCGTGCCAACTGAAGCAAGGTGAGAAAAGCAGAGATGACACTTAATAAGGCCTCTACCCACTACCCCAATTCCTAATGCCCAGACCTTCACCAGATGCATAGCCTGGTCCCTGGTCCTCAAGCATCTTGACACCACTGAGAAGAGTGATGTGAAGCAAACTCCAGGCAATTTCATGGGATATAGAGGGGCCTGAGGCCTCCGGTTCCTTGGGGAGCTTGGTCAATGACATCTTGCTGGGATGGGTCCCAAGACTGAGTTTTCTGGCAGGTGGTTGCCTGGAGCAGCCAACAGCAGATGGCACCATAGAACAAGCACAAGTTGCATCCAAGAAAGTGTCAACAATCTTTCCAAAAACTAGGACAAAGTTGAAGAAAGAAACAAAATGGGGCAGTGGCCAAAACCTGGGACAAAACAAACAGCCCCATGAAGGGAACTGATGACTCAAAATGCACTTGTCTTGAGTGTTGGCTGCACAGGTTCTTGGTTAGGGGCCAGGCCAGACAGTCAGATATGGCTGTTCCATCTCCTGCTACCTGGCCCTTTGCCAGTCCCAGGAGCCTCACAGTGAGGCTCCTCTAGAGTTATAGGCACCTGAATACCCTGCCCTGGGAGGCCATGATGGGTTCAGCCACTGTCTATTTTGCTGGAGGTTGGGTAGGTCTGGGCAGACAGAGTCAGGCCCATCCAAAGTGGTCCATGAGCAAGCTTGACATTTCTGCCTTCTACAAGGACAAGTTATCTGTCCACACACAGATGAAGCCTTGGATCCAGCTCAGAATCCAGAAAACTGACCCATGACTTCCAAGGTGAGATATTCATCCTCATCATAGCCCTTGCACCATTTTCCCTGGCTGGAGGAAGGGACCCCTACTGCTTTCAGCCTGTACTCCCTTAAGCCAAGAACTCCCTGCCCCTCCCACTACCAAAGGCCACTGGGAGGCCCAAAGATGTGAGGAGGCTTTGAAATAATCATGACACATCACCTAGAGTAAGTCAGTTCCGTGGTCAGAGTGTGAAATGAAGGAGGCTTGAGTCACTGTAGGCCTCAGCAGTGGTTGACCCTGGGGAGGGTCACAGAGTCACTGGACAGCTGTCTTGTCAAGAGAGGTCCTGGGAGGCAAGGAAGGGCAGATAACATGTGGCTGCAGCAACCTGAGCCCTTCCCGTGCTTGAGCCTGACACGGGGCACCAGTCCTCAGCTATACAGGCAGTTTTCCCATCAGCTTACCATGCAAAGCTTTCTGGAGCTCTCTCCCTGTGCCAGGGCCTATCTGGGGCATGGAGGATACAAGCTCTATGACAATGCAGATGTCACCCTCAAGGTCCTCACAATCTTATCAAGGGGAGATACTTACAGGCTTATTTCCATACAAGATGGCAGATGCAGTGAAAGAGGAAAAAGATGGAATAGGATGTGAAACATGTAATTCCTGCTGCTCAGGGCTGATTTTCCTACTTCAGAGGGCTGTGAGGGCCCAGGGCTACCAGAATCACTGTCACTGGGCATGCTAATCAAATAACAGTAACCCTACTGTCTTGCCTCCATAGAATCCTCATCTCTCACAGAGGTTAGGGGCTGACCAATCCAGAGCTCTGACTCCATGTGTTCCTTCCCTCACCCCACAGTGACCTTGAAGTCCCATTGGTAGAGGTGGAATCCCTGGGTTCCCAGGCCAGACATCTGTTGCTGAGTTACCAGAATGAACCCTGCCTGCTACTTGCAGACCATCTCTGGCTCTGGCATCTGCTCAAGCTGTAAGGCATACTGTGACCCAAAGAATCCAGACTCAGAAGTCCCCCAGGAACAAATAGCTGAACCATCTGAATGTCAGGCTTCACAAGGCAAATACATGCAAAACTGGGCTCTTGCCAGCCTACCTGGGCCCCAGAAAGCCAGTAATATGGAGTATCTCCCTCAGCTTACACAAGCCCACTTAGTGAAGTCAAGGAGCCTGGCAATGAGCAAGGCAAAGAGAAGCTTTGGACCTGGCTACGTGGGGTTGGACCTGCAACTGAGCCTCAGAGACCCTTTGGAGACTTCTGTGTGTACTGTGGACAGGGGCAGGTGCTCCAGCTCCTCCAATGGGGTGCTATTCTGGCAAGTCAGCACCAGGGCCTTGACCTCCTTTTTGAAGTTGGTGTTGAGAAAGCCATAGATGAAAGGGTTGACACAGGTGGAGGCCATGGCCAGCAGGTGGCATACCAAGAAGATGAGGTTGCCATGACAAATGGGGATGGCCTCATGGTACCAGTCCTCCAGGCTGTTGAACACATGCAGGGGCAGCCAGAGGAGGGCAAAGGCAGCCACCATTGCAACAAGGATCCCATTGATCCGCTTTATCTGCCAAGCCTGCGAGCTGTAGGTGCCCTTGCGGAACACCCGCCTCTGCTTCCGCAGGCGCAGGTAGATGCGCACATAGCAGACCAGGATGAAGGCCAGTGGGATGCAGTACTGGCAGAGCAGCAGGAAGGTGGTGTAGATGATGCGGTGGTGGCTCAGTGGCCAGGACTCGGTACAGACCACCTTATCGGCCAGAAATTCCACAGCCCTGGAATGGTTCTTGTGAAAGACATTCTTCAGAACACTGTTGGCCAGAAAAGGCAGGGAGAGGAAGCAGGCAAAGAGCCAGATGACCCCAATCCCCAGGTAGGCCTGAGAGACACTGGGCTTCCAGCCTGTTGGGTTGATGATGAGCTGATGCCTCTCTAGGGCCACAAGGACAAGAGAGAGGATGGAGACTGTCACTGACATACACTGGATGAAGGCTGACATCTTGCAAAGGGCCTCACCAAAGATCCAGTAGTCCATGATGGTATAGATGGCCGTAAGCGGCTGGCAGATGAGGCACATGAGGAAGTCAGAGAAGGCCAGGTTGGCAATGAGCAGGTTGGTAACATTGGCATTCTCCTTCTGCCTAACCATCACACATATCAGGCAGAGGTTGCCCAGGACTCCCACAATGGTCTCAATGCTGTAGGAGGTAACAATAAAGACCATCAGGTCTGTCGAATCCTGGCAGTGGTCAAAGAAGTTGTACAGGACGCCCTTTGACTTATTCCTGTTTTGACCCTGTGGGGATCCTGGGAGCAGCAAGGACGGAAAATGAGAGCTATTCATGGTGCATGTGAGAAGATTCCAGGAAGTTCAGTGGTGACAGCTGCAAAGTAAAGAAACAAATAGCACTCAGAGCTTGTGCATCCTGTGTGAAATCCAGGGAGGAGCAGGGTTCAGGGAGAGATGTTTGGGGCTGCTTGGTCCCCAAGGCTGGGACTTAGAGGACCTGAGACTCAGAGATGTAAAGCAAGTTGCCCATAGTCACACAGCTAATAAGTTATGGGGTCCAAATTCAAATCAAGATCTGTCTCATGCCAAAACTTGTTCCAAAAATTGCCTCTGACCTCGGGCCTGGAGGCAGTTTTGATAATAAAAAATATGTGGATTATTGTATGCAAAGTTCAGGGAGAGAATTGCTCAGGGAGCATGAGTAGAAATCTCCTTGTCAAATTTTATCCAAATAGGGACAGCATCAATGCCAACGTGTGCTAAGGTCCTTCCATCGCATGCCATGCCCTTTAGGGCAGACCAAAACCTCAGGTGTGACACACAGTGCCCTCCTGGCCTCAGCCACTACCTGCCCTGCCAGCCTTGTTTATGGGATGACACATGGCAAAGGTGAAGACTGCCAGGTATGCAAAAACTGTGTCATCAGCACACTGGCTCTCTCTTCCTCCCCGCCATGTGTACACACCTGCCTGGCCAGGGTCATGGGATGCCCACTGCTCTCGCTAGGGGCTCCCTCCATGCCTATACTCAAGTCACCTGAAACGGCTTGCAGTTCCCAAATACACCAGCCTGACCCACACCTCCGTGCCCTGGCACCTGCCCTTTTCCTCTGGTGCCTCTGCAACACCAGGGACCCTCTGTCAAGATAAATTGGAATTTGGACTCCAGAGCCTCCAGGTGGTAATGCCAGTGACAGATGTTTTGAGATGGAGCACCACCATATCATTGCACACATCCTGTGACTCACCGTCCTCATTAGTCCTCTAATCCCCATGAATCCCACAAGCAGTTCTCAACCTTCAGGGAGCATCGAATCACTCCGGGGAACGTTGCAAGTGCAGGTTCCAGAGCCTCTTATCAGGAGATGCGGTTGAGTGAGCCTGGAATGGGCCCAGAAATCTGTATTTTAACCAGTGGCCTGTGTGATTCTGAGACTGGGCTTCCAGCCTCTTGGGCTGATGATGAGCTGGTGCCTCTCTAGGGCCAGGAGGACAACACATGGTCCTGGGGACCCATTTCAATAACACTGTTCACAGAGAAATGCTCTCACATAGTCTAAGTCCCATACAATGGTGTCGTCTATTAGTGAGCAGGTATCTGTTCTCCATGATCAAGTGCTTAGTTAGCGCAGTTTTTACAGAGTATGGGCAAAATTAGCCAGATGAGCAAAACCTATTTGTCGGCCATCATAAATGTCACTCCCTATGCATTTGGTGTGACTTATACAGATGAGTCGATTTGGCCAGGACAAGATCAAGGCATGAGTCCCACTGACAGCCCACGGCTTATTTCGGTTACCAGGCCTCAGAGGTAAGAAGATTTTTCTAGCACCATAGTCATCTGGCAAAAAGAACCATTTGGAACTGGATGTGATAAAATGAAATATACCAGGGCCAAATGTAAGGTCTAGTATTAGGGTCAAAAAACAACCACAGCTGCCCAAACTGTGGCGGAGGCCCTGTGCTCAGTCAGAGCAGCGAGTGGGACAAAACCCAGGGCCTGGCTGACCACCAGCCCAGCCTGTACGAGGCAGGGAGCCACGCCAAGGCTCCACCTGGCCCAGGGCAGCACAGATCAGAGTGGGAGGAGGACCAGATGGGAGGACCTGCTGCATTCGCTCCACCGCTCAGTAAGCACGTGCCAAGCCCATGCTACACACAGGACTGCAAAGATGACACAGACATTCATGCCCCCAGACCAGAGGAACTGACCACAGGAATGCAGATGCACCACAAAGCCACACAGCCATCTCCCAAACCAGTGGCACGCAATGCCTGTGAGCTCTGGATTTAGCTCCCAGGCAGCTCCCAAGGTAGGAATGCCTACCTGCAACCATGGGGGAGGCCTCCGCTGCAGCCTGCCACCCCCTCCCCCCACTCCCCTAAACTCCCACCCCCCACCCCCGTCAGAGGAAAACTGGTAAGTAATACAGACTCTAGCAAACGCTCAGGAGGGAAGACTGGAGAGAGGGACGTCTGCTTTGTTTTCTGAAATTTCAGGCAAAGAGCTCCTGTCCCCTAATGCCCGCGGTGCCCAGACACTTCCCAGCACGCCTACCTCCTCTCCTCGGCTCGCAGGTGAGGCAGCGCCTACGTCGCAGGCGAGGACCCGAGGCTGCCTGTGGGAGCCCAAGTCCGCAAAGGGCGTGGTGCTCCTCCCCGCCCCCGCCGGCGGCTCCGACCAGGTTGTGAAGCCCATCCGGCGCCCCTCCCAGTGCCTGAGGCTCCCCTGGCGGACCTCTCGAACCCTGGGGAGGGGCGCCCCTCAACCCCAGGACCCACGGGGCGCGCCGCGTGGCCCCTGCCGGCCGGCCGAGGCGCCTTCTGCGTCCAGAGCGGCGCCGCCCTGGACGCCCGCCCGCCGCCCGGGACCCGCCACCCACGAACTGGCACTGCGCTGCGCGCTCTCTCCCCGGCGCCACCGGCCGCCGACCTCCCGCCACTCCCCACGCGCACCCAGTAACCCCAGGCACCGTCCCTGGCGCCGCGAGGGGAATGGCCCGGAGCTGTGAGCGCGGCCCTTTCTAGCATGGCAGCTGCCACTTAGAGCAGGTGTGCATCCTACAGGCACCCCCCGCCCACCTTGGTCATCACACAGCTCCAGGAACCGGGCATTTTTCTTCCAGTTTTTCTGTTGAAGCCAAGTGAGGCTCAGAGAGCGAGCGCCTTTCCCGGCCACCCACCTTTCCCGGCCACCCACCGGCCTGCCGTTCTCTGCCCCCCACCCCCCCCCCGCCCCCCCACCCCCCCACCCCCCCACCCCCCGCCCCAGCCGGCTTGGGTGCACACACAGCGCAAGGTCTGACGAAGGAAAGAAGGAAAAAAGGAATGCAGTTGGTGCGATCTCATTGTAATAGTGGCTGCCGGCATCTAAAGTGCAGAATATTCCCTGTCCAAAACCCGCCCAGCGATAGACACCTGTTCTCTGTGTGGGAAAGAACTAACCTGCTCCTCCTGGGGCCCTGTGTGGGCTGAGCTGCGTGCAGCCTCCGAGGCTTGCGACCAACCCTGCGAGGCAGGCTGGCACGTGAACATGTTTGAGAACCACTGCCCAGGGCACAGAGTCCTGGACCTGAGCCCTAGCCCCGTGGGTCAGAGCGCAGCAGAGGAGGTGAGAGGGCGGTGAGAGTAGTGAAGGGCTCTCTAGGGGGAAGAACCTGCTCTAATTCCACCCTCATCCCCGACCTGGGAAAGTATGGTCAGCCCATTTCACAGATAAGAAAACTGAGACTCAAAGAAATGAAGTCACTTGTCTCAGCCACCTAGCTTATAGATGGTGGCGCTGAGATTTTAACCCACAGTCCAAGCTCCTGCTCCCTTCCTAAGAGGGGGAGGGAGCTGCTCACAGCAGACCTTCCTAGTTGAACCCACAGGGCAGGAGCTCAAGGTGCTGCGGAAGGAAAGAGCACCCCCTGGCGGCAGCACAACTGGAGCCAGGGAAGCTCCCCAAGAAAGCCAAGCACACAAGCAAGAAGCTGGGAGGTCCCCCCCCCCCCCCCCCCCCCCCCCCCCCCCCCCCCCGCCCCTGTTGGGGCCAGGACCCAGCCTGGAAGGTCCTGCCAGCCGGCCAGGCAGCATGCTGCAGTCTCTGGGAAAGGGCTCAGGAGGCTTTTCCCTGCACCATAAAACGGGCTTTGTCTGACCTAGACATTGACCCTCAACAGCTTAGTGAGGGACCTCACTTCCTGTCCCATTGGGAATGTTCCACGTCAATCACCTTGGAGTGGAATGGGCACACTAATCCCTCAGGCATGTTTGGCCCTCAACAGCTCTCAAGGTCAGTATTCTCCTTGGCCCATGAGAAAGCTGAGGGTCAGGAAAGGGGGTGGCCCCAACCAGCCCCTTTGCTGGCAATTACTGTACTGTCACTACCTTGAAGGCCAGTGTGGTAAGCTTGGGAGCCAACTCGCCAAGCCTCATAGTCGCTTCTGTAAAAGGGCGTTAATAATAAAATCCACCTTGAGGGCTTTTATGAGGAGAAGTGAGGTGAGATGCGAACAGCTGCTGGCACAGCCCCAGCAGGAAGCACGTCCTGGAGATCTGTCTGTTGTTATGACTCCTGTGTCCTGTGCTTGTTAACCTCCCTAAGTTTCCACCTCCCCATCTTGGAGCAGTCCTGGCTACTCTAGTTTGAAACTGGCTGGCTGCAGGGCAGGACCCACACCTCTCACCTGAACTCCTCCAACGTGGTCCTGATGGGCCCCAGGTGCTCAACCACGGTAAGTTTCTAAAATCAGCCTGTCTTTATTTGTCCTTAAGTCCTTCTAGGGCACCTTCCCCAGACACCTTCTCCTCTAAACTCTTTCATTTTAGGGAATACCATTGCCTTTCACATGGACTCACTGAGCTCCTTTTCCACTTGGAAAACTACTCATTCCTGGAGACCCAGTCCATACAACCAGCCCTCTGTGAAATGTCCCTAACCCTCCCTTTGTTCATTTTAAGGGACACTGACAAGTTTGCCCACCACACAGACATCCCCCCGGCAGCTGCCCTGCTTTTCTCCTGCAAGACCCATAGCAATGAAAAACCTGGCCAGCTCCTCGGGAAAACTCACCAGTTCCCAGTTCTGTGAATGGAGAGTGAAAGCATCCCATACTCTAGGAAATCTACAGCACAAGAGAGGTGGGCCAGAATGAATACAATAGTGATCGACCTTAAAAGAAACTGGAATAACTCCGGGCACAGGACAGAGCTTTAAGAGATTAGAGGAGTTGTTGATTCCATAGAACAAGAGCACACTGCTAGGAAACAACAGGCCAAAAACGCAAGAAAAAGACCCTCGACAGTTAAACATGATTGCTGAGGTTCTGTGTTTAACATAAAAGTGTTATA